GCTCAGCCAGCATCCTTCTTGAAACTCCACTTCTCTAGCTCTCAGGACACCATTCTTCTCCGGTCCTTCTATAGTCTTCACAAACTCTCTTTTTCTCTACCAAAACCTAAAATGCTGTGTCTCCCAAACATTTCTTTTTACTTAACAAACTTCCTACAGCACCTTTCTCCAGTGCTTCACTTAACAAAACACCTTTTAAATAATAATAAGACCCCCAAACTTACATATTCAGCCCTGATTTTTTCTAGCCTTATTCTCTAGCTGCAACCAATGTTCTATTGATACTTTCAAATTAAAAATATCCAAAAGTTGGGATCTTATTTGTTCCATATCATTCCACTGGTTACTTCTCTTAGTATCTACCTTTGATAGTAGGACAACCAGATCCTTACATCAAACACCTTACTTCAAAATCATTAAATCCCATCAATTTTCAGTTTTTGTTTTTTATTTGTTCCTCCTAAGTCCTCTGCCACTTACCTAGTTCAGGCCTTATAGAAAGGCAGTCTTTGAAAGCTTTGCTGAATAAGCTATATTTGAGGTGGATCTTAGATGATGAGTAGGGGAACTTTAGATCTAGAAAGGAGAGCAGGATATCACAGGAAGACCAGCTTGTACAAGTCAAAGACAGATCAGATCACAATTGAGGAATACTGGAGATGAGGCTTTAAAGGAAGATAAGCTGAGGCCAGATTGTATAACCTTTTTTGTTTGTTTTTAAAAATTTATTTATTTCAGAGAGAGAGTGTGTGTGCACGGGTGGGGAGGGGCAGAGGGAGAGTGGAAGCAGACTCCTTGCTGAGCATGGAACCTGACTCGGGGCTCAATTCCAGGACTCTGAGATCATGACCTGAGCAGAAATCAAGAGTAAGATGCTCAACCAAGCCATCCAGGTGCCCCCAGATTGTACAGCCTTATATGCCATGCTAAAGAGGCTTAATTTTGTAGAAAGGGAGATATTGAGGACTTTAAACAGATGTGTCAAAAGGAGCTTGTGTTTTAGAAAGATAAATTTGTTTTATTAGAAAGAAGATCCACTAGTTCCGAACTTTAGGCATTTGGAAACACGTGGGGACATTATTTATACATCACAATAACTGAGGGATGCTACTGGCATCTAGCAGGCAAAATCCAGGCATGTTGATGTCCTCTACTGTAGGGAGCAGTCTCCCCATAATGAACATCCTTCCTCAAAAGCCAGTGGGACCTCACTGGAAAACTGGAAAACACTGAATTTCTAATTGAGTTAAGCATTCAGTAAATGTTTATTATGATGGGGTTTTAAAAAATAGACATTTAAATTTATACACACCTGGTTTTTAAAATGCCAGGAATAAATCCCTATTCAGTAAGCATAGAAAGTAGTAAAAAGAATACCGCCCAATTAAAGAGGGTTCTACTTCAAATGATGGCCCAGTAGCTCTTTCAGACCAATCCTTGAACAGATAAAACCACAAACACTGGACAAAGTATAGAAATGGAAAGCGACCCAATAAAGGCTGACCCAGTAATATTTTTCAGGCTGACATTGAAGAGAATACTTGGAAGAAGAAACTAGAGTTGGATGAATTTCCCATTTTATAGTTTTTGCCTGAGGGCGGCCCCCAGTCTGCATCACTGGAGCCTTTAGTTTTACTGACTTGAAGAACCATGGAGCAGAGTTTGGGGGCAATAGTAGCTGCAAGAAAATGAAGAAAGAAATAATGGCAAGAAAAGAAGAGTGAGCATCCTAATTTCTGTGTATGAACTACACTCCAAACTCTGGCTTCTCTCTGAGATATGTGCACACAGAAAAGATTCTAGGTTAAAGAAGTGAACTGACATTTGAGCTACTTCAGGGCAGTAAGAGATCTTGCAACTGAGTTCTGCCAGTTAACTTCCAGCTTTAAAAAGAAAAAGAAAAAAGTCTTTGGAGAAACGTATCATAATACAGGGTTTCTACATATTTTACTTGCTGTGTCCAGGACGAAGTCTAAATTACTAACATATGAAGAAACAGGAAAATATAATCTATTCTCAAAAGAAGAGACAATCGAAGAAGATGAAATGAGCAGATAAAGATTTAAAGCAGCTATTTAACTATGTTCAAGGTTGTAAGGTTAACTGTGCTTACAGTAAATGAAGATAGGAAATCTCAGCGGCACAGCAATATAAATTATAAAAATGAAGGAATTTCTAGAATCAAAAAGTATAGTAATTAAAAAATTTCCTTGAATGAGCTTAAAAGAAGAGCAATTACAGAAGAGTAGTGTCCTAGAACAGAGATCAAGAGAAATAATCCAACTGAAGAAAAGAGGAAAAAAAGATTAAAAAAAAAAGATCTGTAAAATAATATCAAAAGTTTTAGCACATGTGTAAAAGGGGAGGAAAGAAAAATGAGACTGAAAAATATTTGACAAAAGAAAACTTTCAGAGGATAATGGGATTTTATACACACAGGGAGAAAACAATTTGAATATACTGACTTCTTACTGGAAACAATGGAGGCCAGAAGACAGTGGAGGAATATCTTTAAAGTGTGAAAGGGGGGAAGAAACTGTCAATGTAGAATTATATATGCAGCAAAAGTACTCTTCAAAAAGGAAAACAAAATAAAGACATTTTCATGTAAAAGGAAACTAGGATAATTAATTACTAGCAGACCTGAACTGTCATAGATGTTAATATTTTTCAGGCTGACACGAATGATACTACAAGGAAACTTGGAGATTCAGAAAGGAGTTAAAGCATTAGAAGTGATAATGTGGGTCCATATCAACGAGGGTATTTTCCCCCTCGTTTAAAGTCTATACAACTACTCAAAGCAAATTATTACAGTGTGGAGTTTGTAATGCATGCTATCTGTAACTCATATGACAACTATAAAATAACAAATGGAGGAAGTGGGTAAACACTCCTGTATAGTTACAAGGTTTCTATATTTTATGTGCAGTGGTACAAATATTAACTGTAACTAGGTTGTATCAAGTTATATATCTTGATATGGGCTTGGCTGACTCAACTGTATGTATTTATTAAGATTCATGGATTAGTACACTTCATATTTATGTATTTCACTGAATGCAAATTTTACCTATACAGAAAAAAAATTTAAAAAAGTGGGTCTCTAGCTAACAATATACAAGTTGAATTCTATAGGAAGAAAGAGTATTCTGACGTCCGAAACTTGTATTACCTGTATTAAAACAATAAGATAGGTTCATTGATGGACAGAGGGATGGATAAATATGAGCTAAAGTGAATGCATTAATATTTTAATTGTAGAATCTACATAGTGGTTATATACGTATTCTCTATAAAATATTTTAATTTTTATGTTTGAACATTTTCATAAGAAAATGTTAAAAAAAAAGAATACTGCCAATCTACAATTATAATCAGGTCAGGGTGGAAAAAATAAAACAGGAAAAAGGGGGAAAACTGTGAAATGGAGCACTGTGAATTGCGTAAGACTGTTGAGTCACAGACCTATACCTCTGAAACAAATAATACATTATATGTTAAAAAAAAAAAAAAAAGAAGAAGATAGCAGGAGGAGAAGAATGAAGGGGGGAATCAGAGGGGGAGACGAACCATGAGAGACTATGGACTCTGAGAAACAAACTGAGGGTTCTAGAGGGGAGGGGGGTGGGGGGATGGGTTATCCTGGTGATGGGTATTAAAGAGGGCACGTTCTGCATGGAGCACTGGGTGTTATGCACAAACAATGAATCATGGATCACTACATCAAACACTAATGATGTAATGTGTGCTGATTAACATAATAATAAGAAATAAAATAAAATAAAATAAAAAGAAGGAAAGAAAAGAGTAAAGCTAAAACAGAGGTAGAAAGAACCCAATGGTAAGGGGGAGATAGGGATAGGAAAAAAAAGAGAAAAAAGAAAAGGAGATAGAGCGGGCAAGATGCCTGCCATTCATGGGAAAATAGACACGATAAAATGGTATCATTACTGTTGGTCTTCTGAAACTTTCCAGTAAATCAGTTTTGAAGTTAAAAATTACAAAGAAGCATTTTGTCACGGAATTCGAAATTATGCACACGTGAAAATTTAGGTATTTTCCTCAAGATCTGAGAACTTGTTAACTTACAATCTAAAAGTCCCTTTGACTTCTGAAATTATCTGATTATCTTATGTGTTGTCATTGAAAATTCTATAGGATATCACTTGTAGTTGTAGTATTACCAACCACTACTTACTTAGGACCAGATCTGTAAAGAAGCTGGGACAGTACACTTCCAGTAAAAAGTTTCTAATCCTCCAAGTTCCACCCCCTAAACTAGCAGCTCTACTCATAACATAGTGTCTCATTTCAAAGCTGATGCTTTTCCTTAGCAGTATTCCCAAGAAACTTCTGGCTTACCATATAAATGTACTGTTCTTTATCATTTCAATGCTAAGTGTTTCAAAATTAAATAATTGTTAATTAAGATATGCTTCCTACATTTGCTCTCCAAGAAGCAGTATTTTTCCTTTTGTTACCAATCATGTAACATCTATGAAGGCAGGGCCCATGTCTAGGTATCGCTACTACCTAGCACAGTGTCTAGTACACTGAAGGTCCTTGGTAAATATTTTTGAATGAATGAATAAGGAAAATTTATTCATTCACAATACCCCTTTCTCAACTGATTCTAAACAGAAATTATCAAGTTAAGAGAATGGTAAATTTTGACTAATTACAAGAGATATAAGTTTTAATAACATTCTGTTCCTATGTATGGGAATCCTAGATTTTAACATATTTTGCTATCTCAAATAGTTTAAAGGACTTATTGAGAAATGATTAACCCAGAACTTTTTAAAAATGGAAAGTCAAGTGATGAATTTATATTATAAAAATAAGTGCCTGTTTTGCTTATTACTAGTAATAAATTAATATTCTTTTCAAAGTTCAAAGGAAAGAGAAACTGGTATTGGTTTTTATCCAAGTCAGATCCAACTTTTATGAAGACAGTCATAAGCTCAGATCAGAATCAAATAAATTTCAGAACTCAGTTTGAGAGAAAAAGGAAAGGCTTTAGTTAAAATCTTTACAATAAAATAATTATGATTATAAATCTCTTTAGTTAAATATGTACACATTACATGGTATTTTAAAAAAGAATGAAAATGAGTAGTTTTCAAGCAAATCTAATGCACAAATATACCATCTTTTAGAGTATAATGTCAGTTTAACATTCTTACACAGCTGTGTCAGACAATGGCTCTGCTTTGTGCAAAACATGATAAGCAAAATTAAGAAAAATTCTGCAAAATTATTTAGTTCCCCAAGGAAATTACTAAAAAAGAAAACAGTGAAAGAAAAAAAACGTATACACTCGAGCTTGATTGTATACAGAGGCTAGAATGACCAGCACTAATGTAAGCCCCATATCTGCTAAATAAGTCCTTGGGTAACTTTAGTTTGAAGTTAATAGTTGAAGTCCTAGCAATTGTGCTTTTATGCAGCCACATGGCCAATAAGGTAGATGTTGTCATAAAGGTGCCCTACAAAATCTTCACTAATGTTTTGAGCAGCACGACGGGTATTTCGAATAAATTCTCTTTTTGACATTTTATTCTTCACATGAGGGCTACTAAGGTCAATGGAAAGTAGAATCAAAGAGTAGCACAGTACATAGACAGCATCTGGAATTAAAAAGAAACACCTCAGATTATTAGGTGGTTTGAAAAATGTGGCCCCAAAGGCATTATCTAATGCAAAAATTTTCATAATTTAAAGAAATTGAGATTAGATCATAACTAAACATAGAATGGCCAAGTCATCCCACTTTGCCTGGGCCTTTTGCAGTTTTAGCACTGAAAATCCCGTGTCCTGCAAAACTCTTCAGTCCTGGACAAACAGGGATGGTTGATCATCCTAACTGACCACCAATTCGTGAGTTTTTCCTTCAACTCATAAAGCATTTTAGAATAGGAATTTATAGTGAAAGCTCATTCTAAATATAAAAATTTCAGAATTGGCTTTATTTTCATCTTTGCTTTCAAATGCGATACTCCCATTCAACTATCCATAAAATACACCTGTACTGTTAGTATATTTATCTTCCCATTAAAAAAAAAAAAAACCAAAAACCCACATATATATTTACATAGAATGTTTTTTATAAAAATCTAATTGGAAAATATTTAATGACAAAGACATATATTAACAGTCCTTGAAAATAAAACGTAAATAACTTATTATTAAATTAATATTCTCATTTGAGATATGTATTTTTAAGGTACATGGAATTTACGTATTAATTTCAGAAGTAAATTTTTAGGGAAAAGATTGCTAAACCTGAGCAGCATACAACAACAACAACAACAACATGTCTTTATATATGCCCAAAGCAATATCTGATGTTTACTAACAAAATAGTAACAAACCTCAAGATACTTATTATTATATGCTACAACTACTTGCTACTACTATGGGGTTTTTACTTCAGAATCCTGCAGTCTTAATAAAGCAAAGTCAAATATTATGTTTTATAAAAGCATTTTCAACAAATTTCATATGATGGGTAAGTGTTTTGTAACCGCCACTAAATCAACACAATATAATTTTTGAGATGAAGCGATAAGTAAAGCTCTGCTAAATGAAAAAATACGTAGGATACTCAGGTTATATTGCACGTACATACATACATACTCATACACACAAATTATAAAAATTAATTGTATTAAAAATAAATTTTTTAGTAGAAAAATTCTAGGTGTTACCTATGTAATATGTGGACTATGAAAAGCTTTAAAAATAATTTCTCAAGTTTTTAGTTAAATTAGTAATATCCAATTCTCAATCAAGAATAATTTTAATAAATTTATAGCTAAGTCTAATTTTCTTCCTAAAACAGTGTTTACTACATACAAATGACAGCTCTGATAAACTATTCTAAGCTCACATAAATGCTGTATTCTATAGAATTAGTCATTGCTATAAGTAGTAAGAGAAGTATTTGTAATTACTGAAAGCATGTTTCCCCAGGGTGAGAAAAAAAATGTCTCATATACTACTATTTTTACCTGGAGGTGGGAAGGGGGCTGGAAGGAATTCACTATATATATTCTTACCAGGACTAAGGCCAAGTTCTCGCATTAAATCGGGGTTACAAGCACAGAATCTATGTGAGAACTTTGTTATGAGAGTTTCAAGATACTCCCCACGCTCTTCAGGGGCATGGATATGACGGAAAAATTCTCTCAGTGCATTGGGCAAAAACTGATTTCTAAAATTATGCAACGTTACAAGGTCATCCAAGACATCTCTCCTAGTGGAAAAAGAAAAAGACACAGCTTTAGTTAACATTTCTCTACTAAAAAAATGATAAGGACTCATAAATTATGTTTTGGATGAAAATACTTTATTATTGATTCTGAGATTAGCTAATCCTACAAAGTATACATAATCCTTAAAATTAAAAAATCCAACTCTGATTATTTAAGACATTAAATAATTTTTAAATTTTTTGTGAATAGGTTATAACAAAGCAAGGTGAAACTAGTAATTCTAAATTATAAAATGAAGAAAAAATAAATTTTGCAATATTAAAAGCGGCAGCTTCTTTTCAAGTTTTTTTTGGCTAAATTCAAATAGCAACAGAATTCTTTATGTTTTTAACTATGAAAATAAGAGTTTTCACTTTCCACAGCAATCCACACCACCAGAGGTAACAACTATTTATGTAGACTTTAAAAAGTGTCAACATATAGTATATATTTTTCCTAATATTTGCTTTTCTTATTTCATATGGTATATTGTGAACAGCGTTTTTACACACAGATCTAAGTCATTCTTTTTAATGACTCAACAGTACCCTGTCTTATGGACATAACAATTCCACTTATGTACATTTGGATTATTTACAATTATATAAATATTTGTGTAAGTACATGTGTATGTCTATACATATTTTCTATCAATGGCAATCTAATAAATAGTCACACTTTGTAATACTATGCTTCAATTCTTGCTGAACTCAACCATGATTATATGATCATCTTTAATTTCTATCAATTGTTTATGGTAGGGATAGGCAAATTATAGCTAGTGTGCCAAATATGGCCCACTACCTATTTTTGTAAAAAAAATTTTATTAGAACCCAGCCATACTCATTTGTTTACATACTGTTTGTCTGCTTTCAGGCTACAATGGCAGTTATAAATAGCTGAGAAAAATTTCTCAACTAGATGACTGCTATGTGGTATAGTTTTAAAAGTAAAGCTTAACTCATTAAAAGCATTACTTAATTCATTTCTGATGAAAACTTAATTTTTTTTTACCTTTCATCAAGATAGATTCTCAGTTTTTTCCAATTTAGTGTTCTTGTACAGAAGATAAACTTTGCTATTTCCTTTGGTGAATCATCTAGGATACCCTTGGACATAAAGTAGTTCACTCCCTAAGGCAGAAAGACAAGTCTACATAAATAAAGTCAGTCTTTATTTATAAATTTTAACAATTAGGCGATAGTGGAACAATAGCCATAAATTCTGTCCAGCATTAATAGACTTTTTATAGCTTTAACATGCAAAATACAAGCTAGAACTTGAGCTGAAACTATTACTTGTGGTTGATAGTTTACATGCAATGAAAAGTAGGAAATTCAAAGTTAAGACTCCTAAGGAAATCCTAATTCAATTTTCTGCCTCATGTCAGTTAAAACTAACTATATAGAAATATGGCTTATATGGTGCTGGTGGTTGGCAGGGGGAGGGGAAACTACTATGTAGACTTTGAAATAAGCCTTGTACCAAACACTTCCACTGCCTAATAGAAAACATGATCTCTTAGACATATTCTAATACACTATTCAAGGAAAAAACTTATTGAGGAAAAAAAGATTCTCCAAATCAAAGATCAACAATTTTATTCTGTAAAGAAAAATAATTAAGTTATTTAACTTAAAGTAAAGTAGGCACAGTTCCAGGTGGGTTTATGGTCTGTACACACTTTGCCTTTAAGCATCGCTACATTCAATAAGAATTTAGCTTCAATATATAGGGAGGCAAAATATAATAGGACAAAACAATTTCAGTGTTTTTTCATAGGATTTATCTTTGAATTTCCTTCTCCCTGCATGCAAAGTTTTCCAGAGAAGCATTATCCACAGTTTGTACCTATTTTAGATTTAAATCAATAACAACAAAACATCAACAAAAAAAATTGAACACTGAAACCAACGTTTTCTCATGTATATGGAGGTCACATTCAAATAAATACCTTATGTGGATTTGAATGTGCAGTTATTGAAATAAAAGGCAGGTTGTGTTTATTTCAACTCGTAGTTATCCAGATACATGTGTTCCCATGAATACTTATGTCTGGATAATAGCACACTGTGTGCAGTTAATTAGTAGAGAAAATGATGTATTATATACACGCAACATACTGTTTTCACACATAAATTCCTTCAGCATTTCTTCCCTTTTACAAACACATATAGTACTCAGAAATATTGCACTCATTAAGAATTCAAAAAGTTGGAAGAATTTTTATGAAAGACTCTTCAAGATAAAAAAGTCTCATAAAATTTTTGTATTAAAAAAAATTAAAAAAGCAATTTGGTACCATGAGGTAATGCCTTTGAAAGGTTATAATTATCTGTAAATTATAATTCAAAGATTTTTTATTATAAAACTAATTTTATGAGCCATGAGGATAATATCCTAATGACAATGTTATCAGTTTCTCATGTGAATCTTAATAGTACAAAAGCAGTGCTAAAGTACTGGATTTAAAAATGTGTCTGAGAAGAGCAGAATGTGATAATATGAAATGATCTTGTCAACTCAATTGTAAGCTGTATTTCAGACTGCATCCTGGATAAAAGGTTAGGAATGTAACATGTTCAAGACGGAAAGCCAAAGACTTTTGTTTGGAATGAGGCTTTCAGCAACTGAGGGGGCAGGAACTAAAGAAACAGTAATCCTTGTTCCATCCTTTCCTCCATTAGTTTGAATAATCGAGAGTTGACTGTATGTTTTAATTCATCTACTTAGTAAAAATTGTCAGGTTTGATTTTTTCCAAAATTCCTCCATTTAAAAGAATAACAATATTTCAGAAGCATTTGCAGTGCTTAATTTTAAATCTAAGCTATTCAAACCCCAAGGAATGTCAACTAAATATTATTTAATAGGTTCTTTATCTATACCTACTTGTAAATCAATATTTAAAAGATGTAAAACTAAATCTAATCAACTTTTAAAATTATACAAAATATTAAAAAAACACTAAATGATCCATTAAATAGTACGTAATTCTCTAATTATATGACATATGCATTTTAATATCATTTGATGCTCCTTAGTTACAAATTAGCATTGGTATTTGCCTCATGTAAGCATTCCTAAAATATGTTGTTGATAATTTCCTTTTTTAAGGAATACATGTTTTAAGAATTTAATCTCTCGCCTACTTTGAAGACTCCATAATCAATCACATACAGAGGAGTAAGCAAGAACACAAACAACTTTAAACCCAGTCCTGAAAACGAGGGACACAGCTTGAAATTAGCCAACTCTGTTGGTTTTATGAGGAAAGGAGGCATTAGCTTTCAAGTCTGAGATTTCTCTGGAAAGGAAGATTACTTCAGAAGGGCTGTCAAAGTAATGGGTCGAGGGGTGTGAAATAGGAAAAGGCATGAAATCAGATTATAATTTTCTTCAATAAGCAAGCTGGCAACCGTCCAAATTCCTATCTTGTTAGGTAAGCAATGAACTACTAAAGAAAACATAGTATGAGATTGGTTGAATAACTCTACATTTGTTTAATAAGTGGTATAAGTTTTCATTTTTAATATAGTTTTAGAAGAATGGTACAGAGATATGCCCAGACCACATAGCATGTTACTAATCAGGACTAGAGCTCTCAGCAGAGTGAGAGAATGCATGTAGTGTCTCACAGACAAAGGAAATCATGAACATTAATATTAGTCTATACTAACATAATTTCCAGAAAAAGGGAAGGCAGTAGCTCACTATTGTCCACATAATTCACTACAAAAGTGTCAGATTCTGGATGAGAGATTTTGTGGGGTATACTGACAAACTAGAATTTATCTGCATAAAGGAAATCAGGACCTGATTAGATTGTTGAAGGGTCAATCCCTGTTAGATTAGGAAGATGTGAAGGATGTACTGATATTAGGCCTAAAGAAGATACCTAGGAAAGAATATTAAGACTTTAAGACATCTGAAAAGCTTTATCATAAGGAAAAAGAACAGACATTGTGTGTGGTTTTAGTGAAGATCTTAAGCTGATGAAAACTATAGAACTTCTTCCCAGAATAATGCACATACACATTTTTTAAATATACATTAAGTGCCTGAAGCCCATCTAAGGACTGCAGGTTAGGAATCCCTATTCTAGATGATGTAGGAGTATGGCTACTGAGTGTCCGTAATAGGGAGGGAGGTTAGTGCCATGTAAGGAAGGCTACACTTGCAATTACAGCTGAGTTGTTCGAGGCCAATGGTTTGTTATTTGCCTGATTCAATTTTTTTTTTACATTTCCAAAATAAGCCTAATCTTCAAATTATTACTACTTAAGTTTATTTGATTGCTTAATCCATATACATGTTAACTCCATTATGCAAACTCTACATGGTTCAACTTGCAGAATTATCTGAATTGTTACCGCCATAGTGTGGTTCCTTTTCTTTCACATAGGAATAATTCTAAGACATTTTTGTCATATGACTTGAAGATAAATCATGATGATGTCAGTCCTATAATGAATTGGCTCCATAGCATAAAGGGAAGTTTTTGTCATCTGGAAGAAGACTATTGGACCAAAATGGATTTTATTTAAAAAAAAATAGTTTTAAAGGAAAGTTATAGTGGGATAAATGAAATTCGTATCATGAAAATAGATTGGATATATACATTAAGATTCATATTTCTCTGGAAAATCACAAGAGTAAATAATATTCATATTACAAATCTTAAATTCCTTACTAATGTGATTTTTTTTTTAAGAGAGAGAGAGAGAGAGAGAGAGAGGGAGAGCATATGCCTGAGCATGGGTAGGGTAGAGAGAGAATCTTAAGCAAGCTCCATGCTCAGTGCATACTAAGGTAAGGGCTTGACCTCACAACCCTGAGATCATGACCTGAGCCGAAACCAAGAGTCAGATGCTTAACCAACTGAGCCACCCACATGCCCCAGAAAGAGATATTCTTATAAGTAATCATAAATATTAATTTGGAAAAAAAAATCCAAAATTTTGAAATCCACTCTATAACTAGACAAATGGGTTAGTCTTTCTAGCTGCTAACAGGATAGGTGCCCCAGTAATGTGATTTTTAAAAGAAGTATCCATTTAACTTTAGATTTAAATATAAAGAGGAACACCCAAAGACTAGTTTGTAAAGTAGATATATGTATATCTGTGCATATGTGTGTATATATGTATAGATACGTATGTAGGTACATATCTGCTTTATTTTTTTTAAAGATTTTATTTATTTATTTGACAGAGAGAGACACAGAGAGAGAGAGGGAACACAAGCAGGGGGAGTGGGAGAGGGAGAGGCAGGCTTCCTGCTGAGCAGGGAGTCCGATGCAGGACTTGATCCCAGGACCCTGGGATCATGACCTGAGCTGAAGGCAGACACTTAACGACTGAGCCACCCAGGTGCCCCTGTATCTGCTTTAAAAGCATTTCTGAAACATTAGGTCAAAACAAATATATTAAAATTATCTACATCTTCATTTAAAATGTATTAAGTGCAAGGGATATATGCAAGGTAGTGACAGACACTGAGAAGTATAAAACATTTTTGCTCTAAGAAAATCTAAAGTTTATCTGGGGAGATGAGACAGGGACACAAATAAGTAGAATACGCATATGTGACAAATCAATGATGCAAGGCAGTTAAATAGGACCTAAATGAACAGGTATGAAAAATAAGCATTCTAGTAGTTCAGTGGAAGGAAAAATCACTGTGAGACAGGACATTTAGATAGGTTTTTCTGGAATATCTACTTTGAAAGAATCGTAGTGGTTTAAATAGCTCAGAATGAGGGGAACACTGGAAATGAATATTTTAGTCAATGTTGTATTATATAAGCAAAAGCATTATAAGATAAAAAATCAGGCAATTTTCAGGAAAATAGGGGAACTACCTTGGGTTTGAGAGCCAAGTCCGGAACTAGACTGTAACAGGAATAGCAGTGAATGTTAAGGTAAGGAGTTTATCTTCTCCCTTATATGTAACTGGAAGCCTCTGAAGCCTTCTTAACATAATGAAGCAATGGCGTGCCATATAAATTTGACAGTAATATAAAGAGAAATAATAAAAGGGAAATTAGACAGTAGGCTACTACCTTTGTCCAGGCTTAAAGCAACAGAAATACAAAGGAAATAATCTATCCTAAAAACATATGAAAAACCCCAC